CCCTGCCCAGGTGCTGCCAGCACCTGGCACTGCTGCAAGCCTGGGACCACCCTGGTGGAAGCAGCAGCACTGCAGCTGCAGCTGCACCCACCCCTCTTCATCCTTGTCCCAGTGAAAGCTCCACAGCCATACTCACACTCACTTCTCTTCATCTTTCCTGTCTCTGTGCCATGCTCACAGCCCCTGGGAGTGTTTTGGCTCTGGGGAAGCAGAGCATTCAGAGGGCATCCAGCAGCTGAGAATGAGGACCAAAAATGAAGGAAGTAGTATAGGGGAACAAAATGAAATGAAGCAATTATCCCTGCTCTGATACTTTCTAATTAAGGAAAGTGTCACCCTTATTAAGAGGCCATTAATTCATTGTCATAAGTCACCACCAGTGCAAGTACCAAAAACGTGCCTGGGCCATGGGGAGTGGAGCAGCTTCCCCTCCTCCTCACAGCACAGGCTCCAGCCCTGCTGAGAGTTGCTGCTTGAGGCCACAGGGCTGCTCATGGATTGCTGCAGGAAATGCCCTGTCCCCACACCCTGGGCTGTGCTTTGGTGTGCTCTGCCACAATGCTCAGCCTATCCCAAACAGGGATGAGCCCATCCACCTCCACCTGTGCCTGCACGCTCTGCCCTGTGGGCTCCAAATGGATTTGTGGAAAGCATGTGGTGAGTTCTCAGCAGAGATCAGCTCCTGGATGCTCTGGGCACCCAAGCCACCATAGAGCTGCCCAAATGTCTCCAGCCCTGCGGTCAAGGCCAGCATTTCCTCCTGCATCACCTCCCATTAACAGGCAGCTCTGTCTTGGCAGCCTCTCATTACGTATTCTGCATGGAGGGCCCCACATCAGCTTAATTAACAAGGTAAGAAAAACGGGACCTTTGAGGAAATCTTAATTATATTATCCATCTCACCCTGAGTGGCACCTGATCCATCCCAACACTGTTTTCAAGTTCATTAGCAATAAATCAAGATTGATTAGTCCTGGATGTGCAGCAAGAACATACTGGAACAGAAGACTTCTGCTGCCATCGCTGCAGGACTCTGTGTGTGCTCCCAAGCCCTGTCTTGTCCAGCACCAGGCAGTGGGATAGGGACCAGGGCTATGGGATGAGGCAGAGAGAGGTGTGCCAGAGCTGGGATGTGGCTGTTGGAGCATCCCAGGAGTGGCTGTTTCACTGTGTCCCTGCCACATGCTGGCACCTCACTCTTCCCTGGGATGCTCTACTTGGGGCAGCACCCAGGCAGCCCTTCCAGGGATGAGACAGCCACAGCTACTCGGGGCAGCCTGTGCCAGTGCCTCACCACTCTCACAGGGAAAAATTTCTTCCTAATATCCAACCTAACCCTGTATTTTGCTGGCTTAAAGCCATTCCTCCTTGTTCTGTTACTTCATGCTCTTATTCAAAGTCACTCAGCTCCTTTAGGCTGAAAGTGGCTCTGAGAGTTCACCAGAACCTTGTCTTTTCCAGGTTTACCAACGCCACATTTCTCAGCCTGTCTTCATTGCAGTGGTGCTCCAGCCCTTGGAGAACCTTTGGGCTCATACTCTGGACTCACTCCAGCAGCTCCACAACCTTCTGATGTTGGGATCCCCAGAACTTGAGGTAGTGCTGCATGTGGGGTCCCTCCTGAGCAGAGAAGGGGGGGATAAACCCCCCCTCCCTGCTGCCACGGTGCTGGGGATACAGCCCAGGACAGGCTTGGCTTACTGGGCTGCCAGCACTTGTTGCTCATGTCAAGCTTCCCCAGTGGCTTGGGGTGCTTTGTAATCCTCCTGTGCACCCGATGGGATGACAGGGTCCTAATTAGATGGAGCATGCAAACCACTGGGGACAGGCATTCCCATTTGAACCAGCTTCACCTCAGCAGAGCCACTGGCAGGCACTGCCACCCCTGTGCCCATCCCTCCGTGTCCTCCCACCCCGCTCAGCCAGGGACAGCACAGGCTGTGAATTTCAGCACCCGCTGTGAATTTCAGCACGCACTGTGAATTTCAGGGTCGGAGGGATGGGGAGCATTCCCTGCATCAGAGCCACAATCAGCAGTGCTTCAGAGCTGGAGGTGTTTACATCATCAAGCTCAGTAATTACTCAGACAAATTTGCATGCATTTTCTATGGGCATCTCTGCTGGCTTTTTTATTTTCTGCTTGAAATCCTTGCTGGAATCTGCAAACTGCCTCTGCCATTGGAAAGGGATTGCTGGATTGTTCCTTTCTAAGAAGGTGCTGAACATAATTCCTAGTGCCAGTGACACACTGGCCCTCTTATTCAAAAGATTTTCCACTAAATAAAAATGGCAAAAAATTTTATCAGAGACAGGAGTTTTGTGGCCATTGCCTGGCTCTGTGCCCCGGTGCTCCTGCCTGTATCCTCCTGCCTGCTGCAGGGGACTGACTGATGCTTGCTGGTGTTTTCTGTTTACTTTAATTGTTGTCTGGTTTTAATATTGCATGAATTGATTCATCTGTGTTTCATTGTCGGCCCTGTTTGTTTTGGGGCAGTGCCTGGAATATCACTGGCAGATAAGTGCTGGACAAATAGAAAGTATTTTTCTTGCTCGGCAGAAGATGAAGAGTGACCAAGCTGTGCCTCAGTCTGAGAGGACCCCGAGCAGCATCTGATTCCAGTTCCCAGGGTCCTGGTGCAATACTCACCACCCCAAATTCTCACCCATGAGGAGGATTGTCCTTCCTTGGATGCACCAAGCTGACACATTTCGCTGTATGCCCACAGCTACTAAAGTCAAAACCATGTCAGGGCTGTCCTGGATGCATCCCTGCTGCCTTGGGCAGAGTCCTGGGTGCCCCTTGGACAAGCCATGGGCATTAGGTGGCACCAGACACTGCCAGAGCAGTAGTTCAGAGCCAGCCTGCAAAGATGCTCTGCTCTCACCATCACCATCCTCATCAGAACAAAGACACAGAGCAGGGGACTGGGGGCAGGACAGCATCCTCCTGCCAGCCCTGGGAACATTTTTTCATACTGCTCCTCCACTTCACCCTGTGTTGGTGGGTCTCAGAAAGATACCCGAACAGGGGCCATGGTTTGGGCTCTGGCCGAGTGCAATAGGGCACGTTTCTGCTTTCTTCTGAGCCTCCTTTCTTCCATACTGAGGAGCTAGAGAGAGCCAGATCATCCTCAGGAGCACAGCATGGGGGAGCCAGGCTTTGGGGCAGGATCTGGGAAAAACCCTGTCTTTTCCAGAGGGTCCAGGGCAGCCCCAGCACTGTTCTGTGCACCTCAGCTGCATTCCAAGCCAAATCTCCACCATCTTTCTGCATGAGCCCCGCTGGAGGCTGGAGCAGGCATTTCTCCCCATGCAGCTCCCAAGCTCTGGAGAGAAGCTCAGCGTCTCCCTCTAACGATGTGCACACACCTGCAGCCGTGATCTGCTCCTTGGGCTTCTGGCCCCCCGTCACCCCGCAGCTCCCCGTGCCTCCCCACCGCTCCCACTGCCCCACCAGGACAGAAACAAACCCCACTGTGGGGAAGATGGGCTTTTTCCTGGCTTCTTTTTCCTTTTCTTTAAACTCAATAAATTCTCCCAGCTCTGTCGCTCGTGAGTCTCCGGTGAGGTGAGAAGAGCAAATTTTGCTGCATATTAGAAAAGGTCAATATGGAAATAGGAGGAAATTCTAATTCCTGTGTCCTGGGGTACCGGAGGCTACACACAGCAAAGCCCTGGAGCTGCTTCCCTGCAGACAGAGCTGAAGGTCACAGACCCCTGACCCACAGGCAGAGAGGGAAGATGTTCAGCCTAGAATGGAGGGATTTAGGGCTGTAGATATCTCCTGAGCATCCCCAGGAAGGGCTAGATGGATCAAACTCACACGGCAGGTTCAGGTGTGGGAAGAGCCACAAGAGCAGAGAGTTAAAATAACAGTCTCTAATTTATTACCAGCAGAGAAGCAGGCAGGAGGATGCCTGGCCAGAGAGCACCGTGACCTGCCTCCACATTCCCAGTGCCCCAGGGGTTTTGGGGTGCTGCTGTTTTTGGACCCCCATGACCCAGAGCCCTATCCTCACCACTTGAAGTGGAATGTGGGGAGGTGACAGCATCCACCCTGGCCAAAATCCTGATTTACACATGGATTTTCCTTATCTGCCCACAAGGGCAGTCTGTAGCTCTGCATGGGAGAGTTTGGGAGATGGGGACCTAACAGCAAACACTTTCACTGTAATGATGGTGAAGGTCATGAGGAAGGTGCCTGGCTTTGGTGGCACCATCGCCAGTCCTTGGGCAGGAGGTCAGGACAGGAACCTGCCAATGCCTGGATGAGCAGAGCTCTGCAGAGCTGGTGGGAGCATGGAGCAGAGCAGGACCAGGCATGGCAGCTGGGGAGGACCTGGCACGCAGAGTTCCCCCAGCCCCACCCTGGGCAGTCCCCACAACCAGCCAGCAGCACCCTGCCTGCTCCCCCCCAGCCCCTGCACGGGCTCTGCCTGCGGATGAAGGATGAGCTCTTGGCACAGCTTCCTCCAGGCCAGGGCTCCTGGTGTACCCAACCTGCTTTTACTTGCAGATTTTCCAGCTCTGATGACTCAGCTCCCTTTTTAACTCACCAAGTGGAGCTGGGTGCTGGGGTCTTGGCCCCGCTTTGAATTTTTTGGCTGGTTGTGTCATCTTGTTTGCTACTGATAACGTCACCTCTCCGGACGCTGGAAGGCAGCCCAGTCTGATGAGGAAACCAAAGCTCCCTAAATAAGCTCCAAGGCATGGACACGAGTTGCTGGGTGCTGGGATGTTGCCCAAGTGCATAATGCTTCAATGTCCTGCACATGGCTCCGAGCTGTCCCTGGAATCACTGCATTCCCTTTCTCCACAGTGCTGAGCCCTGCCTTTTGCCATCTCCTTTTTTCCATCTCTTTCCCTATGAACTGTCAGGCTCAGGTGGATGGAAGTTCATCATCTGTCCCAGCAGCTGGTTTGCTGATTTTCCTCCAGCCAAGAGCCATGTCTGCTGGAAGAAACCTTCCATCCCTGCACAGGAATGTATTCCTTTAAAAGAAAGAGAAGGAAGAAGCAGGAGAGGAGCCCTGGAGTGTCTGGGAAGCTGTCTCTTCTTATTCCAAGTGTGTGGCTCAGGTCTCGTATCGGCGATGCACAGCCCATCCCAGCGGAGCTCGGTTCACAGTGTTGGTGCAATCTGCCAAACAGACGGATCAGCTAGGAGACATTTCCAAAAGAAGCTGGAACAAGGTGGGAGAGGAAGGAATAAACATCCTGCAGGGCGGCACGTCGCAGCCCACCCACTACCAGCCCCAGAGAATCTCTTCCCTTCCGTGCAAAAGGCCACTGACGGATTTGGGGCTGTGTGTGGCAGCCTGGCCCTGTGCACCACAACTCCCCCCTGTTCTCCCTGAACAACCCCACAACCCATCCCTGTGTGCCACAGCCCAGCCCTGGGCTGCCCCGTTGGCCCTACCTTGGCTGAGCAGCTGCAGGTTCCGGACCTCCTCGCGCACCTGGAGCTGCAGGACCTGCTGCAGCAGCTCCTGGCGCTGCGTCTCCAGCGCGATCCCCATGCGCTGCAGCTTCTCCCCGTTCAGCCGCAGCAGCGCCCGGCCTGCAAACACGGAATGGCTCGGTGCCCCACCAGCCCCGTGCAGGGGGGATGACTCCAGGAAAGGGCAGCACAAAGGGGAGCCCATGAGCACGGAGGAATGAGGAGGGAGTGCTCTCTCACTGCCTGCAGTAGTGTGTGGGGGAGCAGGGTGAGGGGGAATGACTGGCTGAGGATAGGGTTAAACTGGATATTGGGAAGAAATTCATCCCTGTGAGGGTGGTGAGGCCCTGGCAAGGGTTACACAGAGAATCTGTGGCTGCCCCATCCCTGGAAGTGTTCAAGACCAGGCTGGACAAGGCTTAGAGAAACCAGGTCTAGCAGAAGCTGTCCCTACCCATGGCAAGGGTGTGGAACAAGGTGAGCTTTCAGGTCCCATTCTGGTTCGTGATGTCCCTTTCAGAGAGCACCGGGTGGCAGCTCATGTCCCCAGCCTCTGCCAGCAGCACAATCCTGTAACCCATCCCCACAGACAGCAGCTTTCCTTTCTCTGCTCCACCTCCCACACGAGGAGATGTTTTCCGAGCACAGGGTCCCCACATGGGCTGCTCGTCCCGGGGCAATGAATGGGGGTGCCCATCACAACACATTAGTGCTCCGGTCCCCTCCAGTCTGGGGCTATTACAGGAGGGATTCTAAACCAGCTTTTGTCCTTGCTTCCCAGCGTACACTCACTAATGCTGCCTTTGTTGCCTGAGTAAGGGCTGGCTGAGCTTTTGCATTAGGATTTCGCATCTCCCCCAGGCAGCTCCTGCCCTCGCTTCCCTGCCACCGTCCCCTGGCCCTGGCAGAGCTCAGTCTGGCCTTGCACATATTGAAGTTGGACTGGAATGATGCTCTTACACAGAGGTCAAAGCCACTGTCCCCAGGGAGAAAAGAGGAGGGAGCAGGTCCTAGAGGTGAGTCTGCTTGATGGACTTGATTGGGAGTTGGATTTGGACCTGGACAAAGACCTTTGAAACTCGGACTCCAATGGCCAGAGATTTTTCTCTTCTGCAAAATTTTTCAGTATTTAAAAATTTTAATAATACTATTATTATATTAAGCTAGGTGATGAGAAGACTCTTCCCTGTCTTACAAACCAATTTAATAATTTTAAAGAAGCTCCAGCCTGTCCTGGAGCTCACCCTGGTGGCAGATGCCTCCTGCCCATCCTGGGTCAGTGTCACTATGTCCCCTGCTCTCACCCTGTCTGTATCTCATGGGGAGAGGGGACAGAAAGGGGGGGTATGTCCATCTTCTGAACCACCAATGTCCAAACAGCCTTTCCCAGGAGCACGTGCTGATGGCAAATAGTCCAGAGGACACTCTGTACCTGTGATGGCGTGGTGGGAGAACGCCTCGACGTAGATGAGATAGTTGTGTGGGCAGTGCTTCTTCAGCCATTTGCACACATCCTGCTGGGTCCACAGCACCACTGGCTTGACCAGGCTGCCCAGCGTGGGGCTGGTGTGGTAGATGCCATAGTGGTCACAGCCACGGACCTGAGGGGAGTGGGAAGGGAGAGCCTTAGTGGGAATCATCCCTGGGAGGAGGAAAACAGAAATCAGTGCATGGGGATGGGGGAGATGCTGGTTGGCTGCACAGGATTGTGGTGATGCTGACAGACTTTGGCTCCACAGCCTCTGGAGACTCTGGGCTCACCCTGAAATCAGAGGGACCAGTAAGGGGGGCACGGAGAGTGGGGAAGGGAGGTTGAATTGTTTGTCCTGCCATATATAGACCCAACACTTTAAATTTCCCAGCCCTCCTGCTGCAGACAAGTGACCCAACTCCCCTCCCCTACGCATCTCCCAGCCCGGCAGAGAGTTGCACAGGCTCAAGAGATGTCCTGGGGTCCTCGGGGTCCCCACCTCACCAGGCAGAGATGGGCATTTGCTGGAAGCTCTCAGTGGGGATGAAGGCAGTGAAATCCTGGAGGAGAGTAGGAACGGCTGCAAAGCCATCCCCACCAGATGCTGGTGCTGGTGCAAACCCAACCCCACCAGAAGTCTCCAGGAAAGCAGTCAGCAGCCAGCTGGAGTAGAAAGGACTCTCCCTTTCTCTCCTCCTCAACCCCCCTCAACCCTGAGTTGACTGGTCACAAGGTCCTGCAGCCTGCAGGTGTCCAAGGCCACCTCTGAATCTTACAGCTGTTCCTGGGGTGCTACTATGCTCAGAGACACCCAGGATAAAGCAGGGTCACAGTCTCCAGCACCCCAGTGTGCCCTGGCCACCTCCACCACCTGCTGAGCTATGCCAGCACAGTACTGAGCTAAGCCCACAGGGAGAGGGGGCTTCTCTGACAGCATCCCTCCACCCCAGCTTCCCTCCCTCCAGCTGTCTGCTGCAGTGGCCAGTCTCACTCTGAGCCACCTAGTCTCACCCTGAGCCACTTGGCAGCTCCATTTTCTATCCCTCCATCACATATACTCTGGCCTTGCAAGATTGCTGCAGCCTGGACTTATCTCATACAGAGAAAATCACACATCCTGAGCTGTGACTGCACAGGGAGCAAGACTGCTTCTCCTAGGGGAACTTCTAGACTGGCTGGGAAATGGGGCTGGAGGATGCAGGAATCTCCTTTTCTCTGCTTTTAGCATCCAGGAGAGATTGGTGAGCTGTCCACTGCTGGTGATGCTGAGATTTCATCCTTGAGCAGCACCAGCAAACATGGCTGCTCCAAAGAATCCACTTGTGCCCAAGCTGCTGGGGCTGTCCTGGGCTGGATCACAGCAAATTGGGGTGGAAAAGGCATCCCTGCTTCCCACAGCACAAGGGGACTGGACTGCCAGGGCTCACCGATGCCCCGGACACGGCGAGGACAGAGCAGGAATAGCAGGTGATGCAGACACACGGGCACGGGAAAGGTCGGCAGCGTGTGGCCCTCGGTGTGTCAACATCGACCTCTGCGTGTGAACGCTGGCTAATTAAGCATGTCTAATAGAGGAGCAGGATAATTAGTGTAAGAGGGACTCCAGACGTCCCGCAGTCACTGAAACTAATGACACATTCCTGAGAGATGCTGCAGAGGAGGCATGGAGGGCAGCTGGGCTGGGATGTGCTCCCTGCCCCGTGCCAGGCACTGCCATGGAGCATGGCCAGCCTGGTAGGGCTGCTGCCTGTGCCCAGGGGAGCCTTTGAGCTTGGAAAGGAACTGTTCCTCAAGCAGCTCCCAACTGAGTTCTCAAGAGAGGAACATCCAAGCAAGAGGAAGAAGGCGAAGTTGGGAGGCTGTACATTAATAAGCAGGGAGTCCCTCTCCAAAGCAGATGGAAAATCCAATAGACAATGCACAGGATTCAGTTTCTGAACCAAACCCTCACCTTTGGGGGACACCCCGGCAGCTGCCCGGCTCCACCAGACGCATCCCGGGAGTCGCCTGCCTGCGGGAGCAGCCCCAGCGGCTCCTTCACACTTGGCTGAGCGCGCCGGAGACTGTGCCGTGGGGAGGAGGAGGAGGAGGAGGAGGCGATTTGCTCTGGATTCACTAACGAGTGATGATGAGAAGCGGAGGGGCTGGGGGGAATAACAACCAGCTTCCCGGGAGCTTCCCACAGCTATTATCCAACTAACCCTCCGAGGCACGGGGGAAGAGGTGACAAACAACAGGCAATCTCCCTGGGCACGCACACGGCTGCACGCACATCGCTCATCAGACACAGCCCCGCACCGGGGACCGTCCCAGCATCCCTAAACCCTGCGCTGCTTGCTTGGCGTGCATTCCCCGATCCCCATGGAGGATCCCCAAGTGAGCCCCTGCGCTCCCCAGAGGGGCAGGGGAGGTGTAAAAGGATCGTGGGTTTGTTTTCCAGCCGGCTGAGCCGCGCTGTCTCTCTGATAAACTCTCAGCCGTGAATATCGAGCACCGGTGTGGAGGAGAGCAGGCAGGAAGGCTGGGAGGCTGCCCTGGCAGGAAGGCAGGAGGTGGCTGTGGGAACCGGGGGGTGGGAGCCATCCCTGGGCGCTGCAAGGAGCAACTTGCATCACCTCCCTTCGCTCTGGCATTTTCCTTCGCTCACGGCAAATTAAGAACCTTTCACCAAATCCTTCTGGGCAGCAAATAGAGGTGGAGGAGGAAGAGCCACGATAAGCCACAGCTGGCAGCTGGAGAGTGGCTGGTGTGTCCCCATGCAGGAGCCACCTGGAGCTGATGGGACAGTGCCACCAGCACATGGGACATTGTCTCCCCTGGAGCATCATGACCATACCCATCCCTGTGGGGCCCCTGCTCCCTTCTGAAGCCAAACCAGACAGGAGGCCCTGTGATACAAAAGCATCTCCATGCTGGCAGCTGGAAGCCAGGCAGTTGGATTTTCCCTCTTTTCTTTCCAGCATTCACTGTCTGGATGTTCCACTATGAACCTGACTCCCAGGGTGTTAAGAAGGGGCTGGGAAGCACCAGGAGCCACCTGCAGGTATGATATTCCTTCCAGTGTCAGTGCAGCAGTGAATGGATGGAAACCTTCGGCTCACAGCCTCCATACGTACAATAAAGTTTCAAATTTTAGGAAAACAATGGTCCAAATTTGGCTAAGAGACACACACAAGCGCTCAGCAATTTTAAGGTATTGTAAGGAATTTGGTCCTGGCATACTTAATGCAAAATGGTATTAAGTCCCAGCTGCAGGTGGGAGGGTGGGTGATGCACAGAGGGGAGGTGACACAGAAAGCTGACCCCAGTACAGCACGAGGCCTGATGAAAACACACGACGATATTTATATATGTCACCACAACTAAACACCCAGCAATCATGAGGACTTTCAGCAAAACCAGATCCGAAGGCCTGACCCTGCAGGGAAAGCGGAGGTGCTCGTGCGGGGGGTCAGGCAGGCACCAGGAGCCGTGCTCCCCTCGGCGTGCCCGGGGGGTGCGGGGTACCTGCGAGCCCTCGGTGCCCGGCTGCCGCAGGAGCTTGACGGTGCGGCTGCCGTCGGGGCGCTGGCTGCGGCCGTCATGCCAGGTGAGGCTGCTGCCCGCGGTGCGCTGCAGGCGGTAGCTCAGGTTCTCGGCCGACACCGTGTGCTCCAGGAGGCTGCGGCAGAAGCTGAAGTGAGCAGAGGCGGCAGCGGCGGCTGCAGAGGGAAGGGGGGTGAGAGACGGCCACGGTGCCCATCCACCCCATGCCGGGGCACCCAAAAGTGCCTTTTCTACCCCATGGGACCTGCCGAACTCAGGCTGTGGGCCCCTCTCTCCAAAAACTCCCCGTTCCTGCCTTCCTTTCCCATTGCCAAGAAGAAAATCCACCAGCCCAGGAGGTGCCAGCTGGCGCTGGGATCCAGCAGGCACCCGACAAGATGTTTGCCCACACAAACCCCTCACGAGCGACGCTTGTTTTGACACCTGCCAGCCGAGCAGACGTGGGACCCGCAGCTGATCCCCGACACGTGGTGAGAACCTCCTGCTTGTCACTGCCACCCTGCTGGGACAGGGACAGGGAGGAGGCCCAGGGAAGCTGCATGGTCCAGGCTGACAGCAAACTGCCACCACGGAGGGAAGGGGAGCGGAGAAACCCTCCCTGGGCAGCCTGGTGGAGAAGGGAATGCAGGCTGGTACCCCAGCACACACCATGGGTTCCTGGGGACAGCTGCTGTGCACTCCAGTGATGGCCAAACACACACCAGCCCTTCAACAATGACCACAAAGAGACATTTACCCACAATGAGTGCTTTTTGTCCCTTATTCATAGAATCATAGGATATCCTGAGTTGGAAGGGACCCACAAAGGTCATCGGAGTCCAATTCCTTATGTTTTAACAAGCTGGGGGTGTTGGGGTTACAATGAGGTTGCAAAGCTTTCGTTTGAGGGGGGCTGAAGGGACCCAGCTGCCACAGGAGGAGGGTGAGTGGGTATTAGGGGCTCACGCTCTGTCTGCTCCGGATAAAAGCCAGACAGCTTGACATAAGCAGCTCTGATCTGCGGAAGCAAAGACTGGAGCATCCCCCAGCTCACCTGCTCCCACCACGGGGAGCCAGGCAAGTCATGAACCACCTCCAAGAGCAGAGCAGCTCCCAAAGGAGACCCACTTCCAGGGAAAACCACCCTGGGAGAGCAGGAGGGCTGGAGAAATCCTGATGCAGCTCATTTTCCTAGTTAGCAGGTTTTAAGAGGGAAGAGGTTTCAAAGAGACCATTCAAGTACACCTTTATGCAATAGGAGAACAACTGGCCAAAAAAAAAAAAAAAGTCAAAATAGAGCAAAAAAGGGCTGTCCCAGGATACCCAGATCACATCATACAGTGTTTCTTAAACACACCCAGCAGGAAGCATTGCCTGCTGGAAATTGAGGCAGGGGACCTGTCTGATAGTTGGGGAAGTGATTTTAGAGAAAACAAGGTGGAAGGAGATCCATGGAGAGGCTCAGTGGTGAGCAGAGGCAGGACTCGTAGGGGTGGTCTCTGCACCTGTCCTGGGTGACTTCCAGCAGTCTCAGACACCCTGAGCCTGTCGGGTGAGGACCAGAGCGGGCTGTGCTTCCCCCAGCCAAGGATGTCTGAGAGGCCACTGTCCTGTCCCTGTCACCCAGAGCACTGCAGCTGTGCTGGAACACCTCCGAGCTGGAACCTGCCCATCCCACCGGGTGCTGGGGCAGATATAACCCTGGCAGCTCTGGAGGGGCTGCTGCCAGAGTTGTGTCCTTCAGCTGTGCCAGGGCTTCCCCAGGACTTGCTACAGAGAGTGGAGGGAAGGGGGCTCTGGCCATCAGCAGGACCCATATCCATAGGGAGCTATGGAGCATCTGCCTCCAGCAGCAGGACATGGGCATCTCTGCTCCTGCAGCAAACTCTGCTGGAGGCAACGCCAGGAGTGGGAGCAGATGGGAAAGAGGGTGAAAGTGGAAAGGAAAAATGAACTGGGAAGAAAGGCAGCTCCGGGAGCTTTGGGGGCACGGCTCTCCATTAGAGCAGGCATTGACTGCCCTGCAGCCCAGAGGCCCTGGCTCCAGCAGCTCCTCCACAGTCTCAGTTTCCCCAGCCCAGCCCTTGCATCCCAACTTTCCAATCACCTGGCAGCACTCGACATGGGATGGTAGGGAGGGGGAGCAGGGCATGTGGGAGCGTTTTGGAGCAAGGAAAGGATGAGGGCAGAGGAGCCCCGTGTCAGGACAGCCCTGGGCTGGCTCCACGCAGGGACGTGGGGGTGACATCCAACACGGGCTCTCCTTTTCGTGCCCTGCACAGGGAGCAGCCACAGCATCCCCAGGAGCAACCAGCCGCCCTCCATCCCCTCCGCCCCTCTCCGCTAAACCGGAGGCTGTGCCCTCCGGCCAGGAACGAGCATGCAGTATTTCCCCCCAAGGCCCGCTGGCCCCACAGCCCCCCGGCCATGCCCTGAAGACCTCTCACCTGGCTCGGCTGGTCCCTGCGAGCTGCGGATGGTGGAGACGCAGCAGAGGGATGGCCGGCCCTGCTGCATCTCGGCGGGAGGAGGGATGCGCGTGAGCGCTCGGCACCGCTGTCACGAGTGCGGCTCCATCCCTGCCTCCCCTCATACCTCGTCCACACCTGACTGATTCCCCCGAGCGCCTCCCTCCCACTGCCTCTGAGCACCGGCTGCACGCTCATCCCAGCTCGGGGCGGCCCCGACCCGCTCTCACATGGACAGGGGGTGAATGTCACCCCCTCCCCGCTGCCCCGTGGGCGTTTGATCCGGGGAGATGCTGGGCGCTTTCCTCTCGTGCTCCCGCCTAATCCCGCGGCAGGGCCAGCTGGCACTGGGGTGGGCAGGGGGCTGCTGCAGGGGACACTGCACCCACCGGGCACCAAAGGGCCCAAGCGAGCCGTGGCACGAGTGTGGCAGCGCCGGGGGCACCGGTGGCTCAGGGCGGTCGGGTGCAGGAGGAAAAGCGGAGAAGGAGCGTGGTGATGAACAACCTTAACGGGAAGGGCTCGGTGTGGGCTGCACCTGCTCCCGCCAGAGCTCTCATGGTCGTGTTGGGGTCCCGGCAGAAGTGGGGTTCCCCCAGAGCAGAGGCTGTGCTAGATCCTGAAACGGGAATGCAGGAACCTCCAGGCGGGCTGAGCCCGAGATGGAGTGGGGAGGGGAGAGCTCAGCTCAGGTCCCCAAACAGCCACGGTGACCCCACTATTGCAAGTCCCTGCCGGCTGGTCTCGGGTCCCTGTGCCCGGTCTGCCTGCCCCCGTGAGTGACACCCCACTGCCTGGTTGCCGCCGGGGAATCGCTGCCGGCTTGTTTCCATGGCTCTTTGATCCATTTTGGGCATCTCTCCAGCCACGGAGGAGGGGGAGGCCAGGTCCGGGTCACCGCAGGGAGACCAGCCGTGGGACAGGGACAGTCACGGCTCCCTCCCCTCACCAGGCACGGCGCTGCTCCCGATCCCATTCCCACTCCAGACACTTTTATGGCTGGTGAAACGTGAGCGCTGGAGAGGCTCAGAGCAGCAGCAGCTGCTGGTGGGGAGAGGGATGGGAAACCTCCCGGGGCTGGGCACCTCGGGGCAGGATGTGGCAGCATTCCCCTGCAAAAGCATTTCCTTGTGGGTGCCGAGTTTCCCCGGGCTGATCACTACCAGCAAACCGGCTGCCAGGGGACTTTCCACGGATGCTTCCTGCTCGCAGGTGACCAGGACCTGCCCAGGGGACACGGTGGCAGACAGTCAAGCTGCAGGAGGAGCAGGCAGGGACAGCCTGGACAGGCAAAAACTCCTGTTCTGTCCTGTGCCACCACTTCTCATCACGGCCTCAGGGACATCCCGGTGTCTTTGATGCCATCGCGCGTGTGGCTGTCCCACAGAGCTGCCCTCCAGATGGGGCCATGTCTGAGGCAGCTGCAGTGGGGGCAGCCAGGCTTCCCGGGGTCAGACGGGCTTCCCAGGATTAACGGGAGAAGCTTCAAACAAGCTCCACAAGGAATGAAATCACTTTGCTGGCTCGCCTGGCTGCCCGCGTGTGACGACCCTTAAGGGTGGGTGTTCACACCACGTTTGGCACCAAATACAACGAGGGATTTGCTTATAATTGGAGGTGGATTTGGGGAGCTGGTCATCTCTCTTGTGTTCCTGCAGGCAGGTGAAGGGTGGATGGGAGCAGAAGTCTCTGAGGATCCCTAGGACTCTCTGAGGACCTAGGGAATTTGCTCAATTCAGGAAGCAGCTTTGTGAAGAACTCATCCTGCTTTTAGTGGCATCTGCATGAGCCATGAGCTCAGCTGGCATTGCCATTGCCCTGGTCCCTTCTGTCCCTTCTGTGTGGCTTCACCCTGGTGCAGGGCAGATCTGTTGCTTGAGCTGGTGGAGCCTCCAGGGATGATTATTCCAGTGAGGCTCTCTGGGATCCCCACACATCCCATCTTTGAAGTTGTGCCTATAGGATGGACCAGGTCCTGCCCTGAGCTATTCCATAAGATCTGAGGAAGATGAAACCAGACTCGAAAAGGATTGACACCCCCTCCAGCTTCTCCAGTTTCCCCTGGAGTATACTTGGCTCAGGCCCTGGGTGTGGTGAGTGTCACCCCAGTGCTTCCCTCTGAATTCTCTGTTTGCAGAGATCAGATGTGAGCCCCAGGCAGAGCTCAGGCTGGTGGCTGCCCACTGCTGGTGTCTCCCGAGGACGGAGGAGGAAGGGAACAAAAGGCAGATGTCCTTTCTGTCCTCCCTGTGCAGCACAATGGGTGCCCTGGGCACACGCTGAGGGAGTGGGCACAGTGTTTGGGGGGAACGTTCATGCCTTTGGGGTATCTGTGCTCCTGAGACTCCCAGGGGTACCGCCAGGAGGTCTCTGAGCACCCCTTGACAGAGAGAGGACTTCTGTAGGGTTGGACAGTGTGAGAGTGTGGGGTGAGGGCAGCAGGCAGGACTCTAGGTGGCTCTGGACAGGTTCTCCTGGCAGGAGGCAGGTGTGGCAGCCCACAGGCATGGACACCCCTGCCTGCAGTGAGCCCCCTTCCACCTTGGCATGCTCTTCCCGGGGGTCCTGCCCTGCTCCAGCACCCCCAGGCCTGCCTGCCCTGTCCTCACACCTGCATCCCTTTGCTCTAGCAAATTTTCCAGCCCATTTCATTGGTACACCACAATACCAAGGGTAGGGCACGGGGACAGACTCTCCCTGGAACGGGGCAGTAAAGGGGAATGTGGAGGGACTGACTCGGGATGGAGAGGACAGCACTGGGGATGGAGGGCAGGCAGACCCCCGGCATGGAGGGGGCCGCAGCAGGAAGGGACGAAGAAGAGACCCCCGGCATGGAGGGGGCAGCACCGGGGGATGGAGGACGGACAGACCCCCAGGATGGAGGGGACAGCATCGGGGAGAGATGGAGGGCGGCCCCTGGGATGGAGTGGATCGCCAGGTCCGTGCTCGCCGCGTTGGCGGCTGAGGCAAGCGCGTCCCGCCGCGCACCTGAGCCCCCCCGCCCGCGCCCGGTACCTTCCATGTCCTTGGGCCGGCCGCAGCTCATCCTCCGGCAGCGGCGCCGCGCTCGGGCGGGGACGGAGCCCCGCGCCCCCCGCGCCGCCAGCGGCA